TGGAACATGAAATTCCATGGGTATGTATTCACATTTTGTCCGAGGCCATCCCGCAGCTTGAACTTCCTGGTACTCAAATCCACACAAGTCCAGAGACTCTCGCCTTCCCAGCCGATATCCAGCGCAAACTCGACCAGCTTCCCGACACTCTCGAGATGCAGAGTCGGATTGCGGGCTGCATCTAGTAAATAGAGCAGAAACATTAAGCCCGATATATCGGCTGGATGGGCCATACACCAGTCGAGTACAGTATCGACGATGCTCCGTGCTAAGAGAATACTCCAGTCTCCCATCTCCCCGCCAAGCCCGGATAAGAGGTGGTGGAGCTCTCGCATGGAGTTGAAGGCGTAGTAGTTTTTGGGATGCAGCTCGCCCGCACGTAGACCAACGGCTAATTCAGCTTGGAAAAGGCCCTTTGTCGTCTCCAATTCTGGCTTGCGTAGCTTCACCAGGTGTGCTAGCACCCAGAGGCGATGCTGCCAGAGCGTAGGTGATTTGGTATGACGGTGTAGCGGAGAACAAAGATACGTTGTCATCAGGGACAGTTCGGTGCTGAGTGCACGGTCGAGCTCATTTTGGTCCAAATGACCATGAAGTAAGGTGACCAGCCACTTTTTTCGCCAGTTACATGCTGTGAGATGTTCGCAGTCGAAAAGGAGGATGATCTCCGAGGCGGTTCGGAGCTTCGTATTCACCTCGTCGTCGTCGTCGTCGTCGTCTATTGCATCCCCACTGGAGACTTTATGGCCGTGGCTCAGGGTTCCAAAGAAGACGTCTCGGGCAGTTACAAAGGCCTGCACTAGATATTTCTTTGTGGCCCCGATTGACTGCTCATCCTGGAGAAACGGCCCAAGAGCCGGCGGGAGGATTTCAATTTCAAGAACGCAATCACCTCTGGTCGCGAAGATGCGCGATAGTTCTTGGAAGGCTGGTGTTTGCGGCGGACATTCTGATGTCATTGGGAGGCACGCTGTCTTTTACCTAGGTAGCATACCTATGTATCTGGATGTGTATAGGATTAGTTGTGGTGTTTTCTCTTCCACCTCGCCGCGTAGTTCAAGATCGGAGCTCAGAAACGCCGCCAGCCGACAACGGCAAAAGCACCAGTTGGTCGATATGACAAACGTCATTTCTTCTGTTGTGTGTAAGAGTTTCCAGCTAAAGGTTTCTCCTCAAAATATATCCTCAACTCAATAAATTCGAACCCTTGACACAGACTCATCGCTTCGCAAACATGTTGCCCTCATTTGGACGGTGTTTTTCATTCATGTCGCCATTTTCCTGGTGAACACCATTGGTGCGGCCACGATTGACAACCTGGTACGTCCAGTCTGCCTACGAATTTCGTCAACATGTCCCCCTAACGAACACGTTCTCTCTAGCTATGGGTTCTTTTTTCTCAAGATCCCGACATCAATGTCTGCCCGGGACCAGAATAAGATGAAGCGCGAGGCCGTCCAGCTCAAGCGGGAGATGAACAACACGAGCTCGCAGGATGAATTCGCCAAGTGGGCTAAACTGAGACGACGACACGACAAGGCGATGAGCGACTACGAGACCCTGCGTATGTTTTCCTTTCTCCGTGCCCTTCTTTAATAATTCAGATATAATAAGATCTGCTGGGAAATCTACAGAACTGACCTGGGCTACTCTGCTCCAGACAAGAAACTCTCCTCGCAGAAAACCTCCTTCGACTGGATCGTCAAAATCGCCCGGTGGCTCAGCACAAACGGCCTGAAAATCTTCGTCCAATTCAGATACTCCAAGACACCTGTGTTTCCGCTTCCCGGCGGCTGGTTCCCTTACTACATTGAATGGATCTTGTCGTTTCCTCGTGCGCCACAGGGCTCGGTGAGCGTGCAGGTGTGGAACAGCGTGTGCGCCACGGCCGTTACAGTTATTGCGGAGATTCTTACAGCGGTGTTTCTGCAGATGCGGCAAAGAATAGCGACTCCTGTTCCTGCTACGGCCAAAAAGACGCAATGATCCTTGGGGCCTTTTTTTTTTTTTTTTTTTTTGTCATGGTTACACGTGGAGTCAAGGTAAGGTACGGAGTCTAGCATGGACAGTGTGAAATAAATGAAAAGAGGCTGTCTTGTCTTCTCTATGATAAGCATATTTGTTAAATAATGAAACGATAGGCATAAAAGGTATATAGTGATGATGTTTCTCAGATATAAAAAAAAAATCGTTTATCGTCAGCAACCCCATACCGTAGCAGGAGTTTCAGTGCTTGACTCTATGATTGGTATATCATCATGTGAAGCAGCATGAAATAAACCACTATACCACCTATTGCATAGGCGTACAGGACATGAAAGGAAAGGGGAATGGGAATGGGAAATGGAAAAGGTATAATAATCCGAGTCCGGCCCCTTCGGACAGAGCATCTGTGACAGCAAACGTAAATAAAGCACGCATCACGCTTTCCATAAGCTACAGACTCTGAAAAGAAAAGGAAGAAAAAAAAAAAAAAAGAATTGAACTCCTCGCCTCAAGAATGAGCCCCATTGAGTTACCCAGCCTCCGTAAAGAAACCAGGCAATCGCATGACTATGCAAACACGACGAAAGGCAACCCAAATAAAAACCCCCCCTCCGGTGCCCGCCATACCACCATTGATTCCACCAGACAGGTATCGCCAGGCGTCGGGTACAGTCAAGAAACCGGGAGGGAATAGGGCAGTAAGCCGCTGTCAAACTGCTTCTATGGCGGCGCGTTTCCGCATTGCCTGACCAGGAAATTTGGACAGGGTGTCCGGGGACTTTCTCCCAAAGCGACCTCTCAGTAGTAGAAGAGGAGAGAACGGGTAGGTCCTCTGTGTGTGAGCTTTGAATGCGATTCTTTGAGCGAGGAGTTGAAGAGAAGAGAAAGAAGGAGAGAAATTTCAGTATTAATTTTTTTTTTTTTTTTTTCTACGGAGCTTGTGGTGTGCTAGTCTGGTTTAGGTTAGAGTGTGGTCACGTGTATGTTTTGGGCTTCGGTTGCTGGGGCTTTTCCCGATTAGGAATATTATTGTCCACTGCACTTGCACTGCACTTCTTGCTGGAGCTCTTGACAACCAGCTCTTACTTTCCACAAAACCAATTCTTGAATCTCATTTGTATTGTTCTCTTTAGAGTGGCTGTTAGGGAGATACCGGTAGAAGGGGTTTCCAGTGACTTTTCACTGTATCTCAGCTGAGTCACCTCACCTGCATATTCACCTTCGTCGAGCATGAATTTGATGATGAATTTCACGCAAGTAACTCTCAATCTCTAATTGCTGGTTTCACTACTCTGTACTCCATATAGTTTGCAAATAAAAGCAATTATAGCCTTGACATATAAAAAAAGGATAAATAGGCCATAACCCCCGAAAAATCTTGACAAGTCCATCATAGAGAATTAGCTACAAACCCTCCCAGCAAAGCTCCTGCAGCCAATATCCAAAATTCCAGACCAAGGGCTTTGTTATCCATCCTACTTTATAATTTGACATCAGGGCCATCATATCTGGTATCTGACACCGGCACCCCCCCCCCCTTTTGCGCCCCGACTTGGGTGATATTCAAGCAATGGTTCCTGGTCCCGCTGGCGTTACGGCGGCGAAGCAGTGGACCCAAGACGCGGATATATTCCTTCGTCGTCTGAAGAAGGAAGACCAAACGGAGCGTCTGTTGCGGTCCATAAACCGCAATGTTTTCCCTTTGTTCAATTTGCAGCGTGCCGGGGCGGGCTTAGCAGAGCTGGAGGATGATTACGAGGAGATCTGGGATGGCTATGATGAGTAGAGGGGTCGTTTCGCCATTTCTTCACCTTTTCACACGATAATATCACGAATACGGTCCACAGACCCCTTCACATCTTTGTGGAACCTACTCAGAGGGTGGTGATGACCAGATAGATGCAGGCATGCTGCTGGACAGAAATTTCAAAAAGCAGGGCTGCACGAACGAAGAAACGAAGTACGCTGCCATGCGTATGGAAGTCATGTTACAATCCGTTGGCAGACGGTCAGACAGGACATGACTCCGTTACATTGCAGCTCCCAAAGGGACTTTACTTGCGGGGAGTAAATGTGAAAATGATCTACTTCATGGAATTGACTCCCATGAGGACTGGAATTTTAGTACCAGTGGCTCTGGCGAAGTATATGAGTCTCATGGTATAATATCCCAGTTACCTTGCTAGACAAAACGAATACCAGCGCAATGCATTCTACCACATCAAAGGCCTGGGACAATCATTCGAAAAGGCAACCCGCGGAGAATGTGGATGTCAACGTATCCCGCTGGGTGCGTCAGAGATATCATATCCATGCCTTTCTGCCCACCTAAACCACTACCTGCTTTAGGTGCGCCACATATTCTTCGCGATCATATATTCTTCGCGATTTTTTAATATTTAAAGCTATATAATAACAATAATACTAGTAATTAAAATAAAAAAACTCTCTAACTTCTTTAGTATATCTTATATTATTAATTTCTCTTTAAATTAACTTCTACAAGTATAAAGAGAGTAGAGAACTATATACTTTCTTTTTCTACTTTGCTAACCTTCTCTACTTATATTTAGTATTCTTTGCTTTCTTATCTTTAATTAATTAAATAGCATTATAAACTCTTAGAATCCTATTACTAGATAGACCTTTAATCTAGTACTTAGTATAAACCTAGTATTAAGGCTCTTGTATGGTCCTAATCCTTTAAATTACTTTCTAGGTTATTTTTAGCTTCTCAAGCTTCTCTACCTAATATTAAAAGAGTTTTAATATATTCTGCCTTACTTAGTTAGATACCTTATTAAGTTCCTTTATAATCTTTACCTAATTTTTTAGAAGAGCCTCTATTATTACTAGAGGACTATTTTTAATACTAGAGGATAGTAATAGTAGTAAAGATAAAATTTAATAAAAATTAATTAATATATCTAGTATATTTATCTAATTTACTAGTTTTTTAATAATTTTAATATTATTAACTAGCTAGATACTATATTCTTTAAAAATATCTTAAATAATTTGCTAGTAAAAGGTCTAGTTATAGATTAGCTAGATAATCTTTATGTCACGGCGACCACGTGACATGCAACCACATGCCGAACCACATGCCGAACCACATACCCAGTAACCGAGGGTAATCGGGAGAACGGCAACATTCGAGTCGCCTGCGCCGCGCCGGCGACTCGACTAGGCAACATAAATAGCAACGCAATAACCCCCGAAGTGCTGAGAGACAAGCACTTCGTTTTGTTACTTCCAGTACCTTCCTACTATCCTCGTACTCCGTGTAGCTTTGCTTCCTTTACCAACACTACCCATACCCAAGCGCCTCGCCAGTGAGACGCTTACAATTCGAAGTGCTTCTTTACCAAGCGAAGCAACATGGCGAGTACGAGAAGGACTACCCGCTCCTCCTCCCAAGGAGTGGCGGATCCAAACTCCATGGAATCTACAACCATGGTTCCGGAAACCATTATCGAGGAAGGTTTAACGGCACCAGCGACTCTCCAGCGCCAACCCGTCGAGTTGACGGAAGACGATAAGCTGTGGCGCATGGCCCAATACATGGCGCAAGCCATGCAGACGGTAGGGAGAAGGTGCCCGAACCCGAGTTCTTCAAGGCACGAAACCTGAAGGAACTTGGTGTCTTCCTGGAAGACCTCCAAGACTACTTTGGGTCGCAGGGGAAACTCTATGAGAGCGACGCGGCCAAGGTCCGCTACGCTACGGGTCGCCTGAAAGACGACGTAAAGCAGGCGTGGCGCTCTAAGCATGGAGCGAACCCCGAAGGACTCACCTATTCAGAATTCACTGAGTTCCTGCGGAACTTCCTAGAACCAGAGAGAGACCGCGGGCAGACGGCGGCTCACCGGCTCCTACACATGAGACAAGGACCACAACAGAGCATACGAACCCTGATAACCCAGATGGAGGAGTTCGTCCCAATGATCGAAGCCGATCTTGAAGGATTCCTCTGCCAGCTAGCCATCCAAATGGCCCGGCCCGAATTGCGCAAGGAAATCCAGCGGGACGCGACGACGCCGCGAAGTCTAGCCGAAGTCGCCGAACTGGGGGCAAGGTACGAGAAACTTCAGAAACAAGAGAAGCAGGAAAAGCCAAATGGGATACAACCAAACCAACCCCTGGGGTCTCGTGTGTCGAAGGATGACTCAAGGAAGAGAAAGAAAGATGACGGCGAAGCAACGAACCCCGACCGAACAAATTCCAGCGGAAAGAGTCAAAGGAGGAGTGGCGGAACCGCCAGAACCAAAGAAAGGAAGGCCGATGCTACCAGTGCAATCAAACCGGTCATATCGCAAGGAAATGCCCCCAGCGCAGAGAAGGCGCCGAGGGGGCAGGAGAATCAGAGGACCAAGACCAATGACGGTCGAATGCTCCAGAATCCCTAGTGCTCCAACAGGACGAAGAGGCGCCGGCGGGACCCCTCCTAGCCGCCGTAGCCATCCTGGTGGGCAAGAAATGGGTCACGACAAGGGCGCTTATGGATACTGGAGCGAACGAGGACTTTATCTCCTACCGCTTCTTGGCTAAAGAAGGAATAAACCTCGACAAGACAAAGATGGAGCAACCCGTGCGTTTCGCTAACGGCTCAACGGCGCCGTGCTACGCGAGATTCCAGGCGAAGAGCCGAATCACGGATAGCCTCGACGAAACTAGAGAATTCGACATGGAATACCATGTAGTAGATTTGGAAGAAAAAGAATACCAACTGATCCTAGGGCGCAGCTGGCTGAGCCCGGTCGACCCCGACGTCTCCTTGGCGGCGAACACCTGGCGCTACCGAGGGAAAAAGTTGAAGATCAAAATCGAATCGCCCAAGCGATTCAAGAGCACGATGAGGCAAGGACTCACTATGCTGGTCTTGAGCCAACCACGCGACGACAGTGGTGCGACGGGGGCTCTCCCCAAATGCTACGAAGAATGGAAATCGGTATTCTCGGAGAAAGAGGCAGAGGCGCTCCCCTCTGAAAAAGCTAGTC